GTACTATTAATCTTTTTTTCTGAGATCATGGTTTAACTGGAAAGGCAAAAACACTGCGTAACTCTCCATTACTGAATCCATTCACAGGATTAGCTCTAGAGTTCATTAGAACGCAAATAATTACCCACTATATATTTTTTTCTTTTATGTTGGAATGTTATGGTCAAGCCCGCATTAGAGCATGTAAACTGTTCTTTTTATAGGCATTTGACAACATTATTACAGTATTCGAAGCGTATTCTATTTGGTGTCGGGTTCAATTTTTTTCATAAGTTTTGCCTTACTAGTTACAAGCCTGATGAGGATCTCAGAAAGTGATCGAAAGTAATTGGGAAATAAATACGATTTTCTCTGTTACAGTGCATTTCTTGCATTATTTAATGAAACACACGGGAAAATACCCGTGAATATGAATGGATTATGGTAAAAATAAGCTGTTTTTTTATTTATTTTACCAGAGATGCCTAAAACAGAATTTGCTGCCTAAATACATACATATATATATATATATATATATATATATATATATATATATATATATATATATATATTGTACCTATGAAAACTAATGGTTTTACCCCAATACGCATGAATAAGTTGGACACTATTGTACGTGGGGGTAATATGGTGTCTAAGTGGTTCACCACTAGTAGTGGTTTACCTACTAAACGCCGCTGGCGAGTATTGTATTTTATTGAAAGATTATTATGTTTATATAAAGGTTACCATTTCATTTCCAACTTCCGTTTTGGTTATTCCTTATTCAGTAACCCTTTCTAGCTTACAACATATATATATATATATATATATATATATATATATATATTACTTGCATTATAAAAAATAACCCAGGGACAACAACGTTAAATAACACCACCTAGCATCCTTCATGTTTTGGCTCGATTTTCAGTTAAACTAATAAATAAATAATTATGAGCGTTTTTTTTTTAATTTAAAAAAATTAAATACTTATAATAATTTTACCATTGTTCATAAATACCTGTTGCAAAATAAAATCATCACATTTACCCTAATAAAGTCCATCAGACGCTTCGTCTCAAATAAATCTCCCTTTTCTCTTTATTTATATTGTTCTTTTACAAATATATTTTTAATTATATCTGAAAATTTACACACACACATCACATACACACGCCCATATACCAGGTGTAACATTAAAATTCTCGTGTAACAGCATGATTTTCTATCCCATAAAATGTTTAATATCTAAACGAAAAAAAAACACTAAACTCATTGAGTTTCCTTTTTCCAGGTTTCAGATAAAAAGTTTAGCCATCTTGATACAGCAATCATACTCTAACATATATCTTCCAATCCATTCAAGAACCAAATAGGAAACAGTGAATAAGTATAAAAATAGAGAGAACAGTAGAGTAGAAAAGTTGATCAGGAGGTCACAACAGGAAGAGGGTCATCATTTCAACTTTTTTTGAAAAAAATATTACCAGCAATACATTTTTCTAAAAAAAATGTTACCAGCTATACATTTAAAAACATATTACCAGCTATACAATTTTAAAAAAATACCAGCTATACATTTTTTGAAAAAAACATTACCAGCAATAAATTTCGAAGGGAAAATATTAACAAAATTAGATTTTTGAAGAAAAAAAAATATTACCAGCAATATATTTTAACAAAAAATATTACCAGCAATAAAAATTTTCGGCATTAAATAACTCATTGAGGTTGATATACCGTAAAACAAAACAAAAAAAAACAAACGAAATTATTTTAGATTTTAATGTATTTTGCACCGGGCCGAGGAATTCTCTATTACGACATTTAACAATAAGCTTTATTACAACTTAATTCAACTAAATGTCATTCGAAATAGTACTCTAATTTTGTTGCCTTGTGTCAGGCTGAGCTCGATTTCGTTAGCAGGTCTCATACGTTTCTCAATGTTCAATGTTCGTTTCTCGATAACCCAGCTCCATTAGGCATGCGCATCGATATGTAGTTGTATATTGACCTATTGATTTTGGGATTGAGCTGGGGTTTGGAGAAAGGCATATCTTCGAATCGAACTCCCTCTATCGATATCTGTCAATATCTATTTAACTTCAACGGCTATTTGCTGAACAGCTTCGTTTTCGATTAATCCAGTCACATGATCCGCCTTCATTGGTATGACGTCATGAACTTCCGTGTCAGCTCATTCCTCTTGTCATTACTTATTTTTCCCAAAATGTACCAGGCATCAACTATTGTACCTACTGTTATCTTCCAGCTTGGCACGATGAGAACATTGAATAGAGCTCGAGAAAGGTACATGCTGAAAGATGTTACGGGCGAGAATGAAAGACAAAAAAAGAAAGAAAAGAAAGTTGTTTCATTTTGTTTAGCGGAATATCAAACTCTATAGATTGTTAAATGTCGAAATCTAAATATTTTGAACGCAGTTCTGTTTCTTTCTTTTTTTCTTTAGAGATAATAATTGTTTTATTTAGATACCACCATGAGATCGCTAAAAAAGAGGATAGCATGATGAAAAACACGCCAAACTTGACGAAAACAAAATTTTATCGTCTAAATGTTTCTTATTATTAAGAGGAAAGATTAAAGTATTTTGGGGGTATTTTTTTTACATTTTTTAATTGTTCCTAGCACGTCCGAAATTTTCGTTAAAAATCTTGTCTTTTTTTTTTTTTTTTTGGAGTCAGCAAAATTGACAGATAATCGATCATGTCAATCATTTTTTTTTCATTTTATAAAATAAATGAAAATCTCAGTTTGAAATTCTTTTAAAAATCAATTATAATTTTTTTTTAAATTATTTTAAAAAAATCAGAAATTATAATTTAAAATATTTTGAAACCAGCATTATTTAGTTTCTGCGCAGAAAAAATGTAATTTGAAAATTAAACAAACAGGTCATAGCATTTCGCGTCACTTGACAAGTGATGAATGACGTATTGACGGATTATGTGAGGATAATTTATTCTACGGAAGAAAAGAAGTGAAATTATTTAGATTTAAGTGAACAAATTATTTACCTCGTTATTTTTAAGGAAAACTTTCAGCACTCTAATTTTTTTTGTCTTTGTACTTAGCTTTCACCTTTACTTTTACGATACTTTATGAAAAATATATTATGAAGAAATTACACTGCGTGCCAAATTATTATCGAGATAACTTTTTTTCTAATATTTCAAAAACCGTCCAATCAATTTACACAAAATTTTCACACAATGTTGTTATAATCATTAATGTTCATAGGTACGGTATGTAACAGTTTGCATCAGTAAAACTACGTAATTCCATGAGATAGCTAAAAAAAAAGAGCATAGCATGATGAAAAGGACGCCAAACTCGACGAAAACAAAATTTTATCGTCTAAATGTTTATGCTATTATTAAGAGGAATGACCAGAGTTTTTTGTAATTATTTTTTAAAATTTTGCCTTCTTTTTAGAACATTCGAAATTTTATTAAAAAAAACCTTGTACATAAAATTATGGTATTTTATGTACACTTCTGATAAAATTTCATAAGAAAGGTACCTATAAATTAATTCGATACCTTTCTTATGAAATTTAATCTCACTCTTAACAGTCTTATTTTACACTGCGTGCCAAATTATTATCGAGATAACTTTTTTCTAATATTTCAAAAACCGTCCAATCAATTCACACAAAATTTTCACACAATGTCTTTTTCATCATGCTATGCTCTTTTTTTAGCTATCTCATGGAGTTACCTAGTTTTACTGATGCAAACTGTTACATACCGTACCTATGAACATTAATGATTATGTCTCAATGCTTATAATAAATTGGACAGTACTGTAAGTGAGGGTAATCTACTGTCTAACCTGGCAATGTGAGCTGGCTGTGTAGGGAGCTATTGCCGCGTCGAGCTCTCTGCCTTTGGGCAGAGAGGAACGTGGACGAAGCTATGCCGAAGAGCAGAGTCTCGTCCGGGGAGGTAGACAGATACACGATCCTGCATATGCGGGATCTACGGGCCGGAACCCACGGGCTCGGACTTCCCCACATTAATTTTGGGCTTGTGCCCATCCTACCTTGTGGGGAGGCAGGTAAATATCGTAATATATTGTCTAAGTAGTCCACCACTAGCAGTGGTTTACCTACGTCATGCCGCTGGCGAGTATTGTATTTTGTTGATGATGTAAAGATTACCATTTCATTTCCAACCTCCGTTTTTGTTATTTCTCATTCAGTCACCCTTTCTAGATTACAACACAAAATTAACAATTACATTACACCACCCGCGCATCCATGATCACAGCACGTTGTATTTCTAAACAACCATTCATCTAGGTACAGATCAGGCTCAACGTTGCTTAATTTCGGTGATCGAACAAGAAATGTTGCTTCAACTTGATGTGGGCCATATGCCTTTCTTCTTTCTTTTATGTGCCATGTCTCTTCAGGACGTAGGTGATCATTGCCCTTGTATCTCTTCCCCATCTTCCTGTCCGTTGCAGCTCACTTGGATTCGCAAGCGGTCAGCTGTCTAGGATACCGGCCATGCTAGGCCCTGAACACAAAACGTCACTCATCTAGGAACTAGCCATGCTAGGTATTGGACAAGAAACGTTGTTTCAGCTTGATGTGGCATTGTGCATTTCGTCTATCTTTTATGTGCCGTACGACTTCAGGATGTAGGCGATCATGACCTCCACATCTTCCTGTTGGTTGTAGTTTTCTTGTATTCCCAAGCGGTTACCCATTTAGGCACTAGTCAAGCTCGACGTAGTTTAAGTTCGGTGATCGTACGGGAACTGATGTTTCATCGTGATGTGTCTGTAGGGCCCAAGAACGAGAGTTAAGAGAAGAAATTGAATAAAAACAAAGAGATCGAATCTAAACAATGAAAAAAAGAGAGAAAATAGGTATATGAAAAATGAAAGAAACAATAAATAAGACATTATTGAATAAGAAAGAAAGAAAGAAAGAAAGAAAATTGAATAAGAAAGAAAGAAAAGAAAAGAAAGCAAAAGATGCTTATCTTTTAAGAAAGAAAGAAAGAAAGAAAGAAAGAAAGAAAGAAGATAAAAAGAAAAAAAAAAAACAAAGAAAATAGAAAAGAAATAAAAAAAGTAAAGGCCAGCAAGAAAGAAAAATTCTTATTTTTGAAAAAATAAACAAAATGAGAGAGAAAAAAAAGAAATAATAAAAAATGGAAGGAAAGAAAGCAAATAAAACAAAGAAATAAAAAAAAAAAAAAGAAAAAAGGAATTTCGGTCGCCATTAAGAAAGAAATTAAGAAAATTCGTATCTTTTAAAAAAGAAAGAAAGAAAGAAAGAAAGAAAGTCCGGTCGCCACCTAGAAAGAAAGCAAGAAGATACCTGGGTTATAAAAAAGAAATAAAATGAAAAAATGTGTGAAAGAAAGAAAGAAACGAAAAGAAAAAGATAGTGAAGCGAAGATAAAGAAAGAAAGGCGACTGAAAAACAAAGTGGCTTGAGTTTCTGAAGTGAGGAATATATTGGTCCTAATTCGTTTGGCCTCTCGAAATTTTCCGAAGCCATTCGTCAGCTTCCGGCGTCACAGAAGTCAACCAAAACTGCGTACAAGAACACTTCCGGTCGTTTGTTTCTGATCGGTTGCCACTTCAATGTACCCGGATGTGACTGTTAACCAATCACTTCGGGTCATTGCACATCGTAACGTTAGGAAGGATAATTGAGATAAAATTTTCTTCCTTTTGCTTACCCTGCGTGAATCGGGGATGAGGCTTCTGTGAGGCAGTCCGAGTGTTGAGAAGCTGGGAGCGGGTATAAAATGTCGGCTAGCTCGATTCGTTTCTGTTACAAACGACGGACGTCTGTCTTTACTCTTTGACACAAAGCTGATAACCGGAAGTTTGAACCCTAAAGATTTTCTCCTCGGGAAAGGAAAGATCGCCTTCCGGTTTGACGAAGTGAAATTTCACTATTGCGACATGTTTTTCCAACTTGGCTAATGTAGATTTTAAATCGATGGGAGATAGTAAGGAAAAGAACATGGCTTTGAACTACAGCCAAGAGAAGTTGTGGAGAGCCACAATAAATCCTGTCATGAAATGACAAATTTCATAATACATTGGTCCATGTTCTGATAGATTAAATAAAACTAACTGAATAATCATAATAAAATAGATGTGTTTTGATAAAACGTAAAAATAATAAATACCTTATTTCCTCATGTATAATACGCATTCATCTGAAGTAGACACCGTTAAAACTGTGCTGAATGTGAAGGATAATGCTTCTACTCACGAATAATACGCATCCCATGCTTAAAAAAGAAAGAAAGAAACAAACAAAGAAAGAAAGTCCGGTCGCTATCAAGAAAGAAAGCAAGAAGATGCTTATCTTTTAAGAAAGAAAGAAAGAAAGAAAGAAAGAAAGAAAGAAAGAAAAAGACAGGGAAGCGAGAAAGAAAGAAAGAAAGAAAAAGACAGGAAGCGAAAAAAAAAGAAACAAAGGTGACTGAAGAACAACAGTGGTTTGAGTTTCTGATGTGAGGAATATAATGGTCCTAATTCGTCTTGCCTCTCGAAACATTGTACCTCTCCAATTTCATTACGGCTAGCTTTCATATTAAAAAATGGTTTCAAACAGAATAATATTATTCTAATTTAGTTTTATAATAATTTTTATTTTATTTTACATTCCTAAGTATTGATAGGTATATATGATTGTATTTGACATCCTTATGAGGTCGCAATCGCCGAATGTTAGTGTCAAATTGCCCTATGTTTGTGGCAAGTAGTTATTTCGCAACTGCGATCAACCTATAAAACGGCAATCTTTTAAAGATTTTTTGTAGTTGTGCATTATACGCACCCCTTAATTTTCTTATTATTTCTTTAGAAAAATGCTGATTATACATGGGTAATTATGTTAAAGAACTAAAATAAAAATATAATAATAATTGTCTGCACTAATATGGGCTACGACCTGGCATCTCAGCTTCAGTCACTTTTTCATCGCTGTAACGTAGCTTCACTGTGTCTTTTCTACAAAGGTTAAGGTAATTAGTTTGATGAGCTCTCCTCCCAGACAAGAATTGTACATATGTGGACTAGTTAGGACTTTCATAGAGACATAGTGGCATTATGGTGAATGCTGTAAGAAGGGTAAGTAAGAAAGCAGTGTTTTGGTGTAAGGAATATTGTAATATGTTTGGGTCAGTGATTGTGGCTAGCTAAGTTTAATGTTAAGACAGAAGAAAATCCCCCATTTTGTCCTTGTGCCACATTTTCTGTACTTTTAATAGAATTTAATATTGTTTTCCTCTTTTGTACCTCGACATCATGAATTTAAATGTGGTACTAGATTGGCAGTTAGGTCTCATGTTACTGTTTAAATCGATAAATGTGACCGTAAATTCTATGCTAATAGTTACTACTCTAGAATTTTTTTTTGCTTGAGGGACTCATTTCCGGCTTCTTGCTTTTCTTTTGAACAAGGCCTTCACAAATTTAAATGCAACCTCAATCGTCATCTTTTGGGTCCTTGGATTCTGTCCTTTTTATTGTTGTCGATAACGCTTTCTCAGTCTTTTTCTATACTTTATTGTCTTTCATTATCAGTAAATCCTAGCGTCTTAGTGGCTTTAATGCCTTGCTTGTGGTGAAATGATTAAAATATTTTTAATCAATTTACCTTTGATAGCACTTATTAGATAAACAACTAACAAATCCTATGTACTTTAATATATTCAAACTAATATAACTATAATGATTATTATAGACTTTTTGGATAAGTACCTAGCATCAGCTTTCCACGTTTTTTTCATGATAAGGGGTATCTGTTGTAGAGATGAGTTTGCCAATGCTCATGAACTCCAGTCACGAGTTACAAACAAACACTAGACATATAACATAAACCTACAATTATCATTCATATATAATAAATAAGGTATATCCCTTTAGTACAAAAATAGCTTCCACATATACCTCCCAGAAATATCTACCACATAATGGTAGGACTTTAGCTAGATGAAAACGCTATTGCCACTAATGTCTTACCACTAGGTGAGAAGTATTCCTGGGCGGGGGGGGGTATATTTGTGAGGTATTTCTACCGTACACTGTATAAACCTATAATTATTATTTCATATGTAATAAATACTATATATCCCGTTAGTATCTTATCATACATATTGTATTTTTTTTTCGTGTACTGATATTGGTATTGTGGAAGAAAGCAATATTACGATGAGTTACTTTCTTGAATTCTGTGCGTGGGTTGAGATGACGAATAGATATAAGTAAATTAATTCGTTCCACACTACGGAAAATAAAATCAACTGACATTACCTCTGTCTATAAATGTACTGTAATTATTGTATTCCCTGTTTTACTAATTTAACTAATGTTAATTACTGTAGTAATACAAACAGTCGATAGTATAATCATACATTATACTGATGGAGTTTGGTAGTGATCATGTAAAAACAACACACCGTTTTCGCTCTTGAACACGGCCCTGAAATATCAGCAGAAAGTTGGATGTAAACACGTCATGAGTTGAAACAACTTGTGGCTTGTAGTGACAAGAACTGTTTCTGATGGGATTTGGCATAACATTGTGCTAAACTATTGAAAATCTAATTAACTACAAATATTTAATAATTAATCCGGAATGTGATTAAGTGTTGCAATGAGTAATGAATAATGAGTTGCATATCGGCCCTGCGCGTGAGGATGTTATAGTGAGAAGACCGTTACACGGGGAGAATCCCACACTCTCGGCCTGGGAAGTCTTGATCGAGTGGAAAACGTTATGACGGGAGACTGACATGCTGCAGTGGATGTCTCGTTCCTGCTCTAGGGCTCTCCACAACATTTTCTGTCGCCACTTTCACAACCGTTGGATCCACAGGTGATCTCTTCCGATCGTTCCGCCGGGAGTCAGTCTTCGCATGCAGTAGGGCTGACACGGCCCACGCTTAACTCACCGGAGATTTCAGACCCGTCGGCTACCCTCACTTGGTTTGGGCGACCCGCCAAAGCCGTTGCTCGGCTGGTGGCTGCTGTTGCATACGACAGATTCTAGGAGTCACATGTGGAAGCTGGGTGACAGCAAGCCGCCCTGAAAAGGACATGGCGACCCCACTGCTAAAGGTCTCCCTGGCACTGCATAACCCCACCCCATATGATATTACAAAAAGAATAATAACAAGTTGGAGTTGGCAACTTGGATTTGCTACTACCGTAATTTATTCACTGCTCAAATACTTTTTTCAAAAAATACCTAGCTAATGGCGTCTTACTAACGTCTTTGCATGCATGGAAGACATTAATATTCATATATTCGGTGTACAGTATGCAAGCAAATTTTGATGTCAAATTTGGAGGAAAACGTACATCATATACACCTAAAAATTATATCGCCCGGTTCACTCTCCTCCCTAGTCTTTTGAAGAGCAGTTTGAGGTTTATCTTGTTTCCTCTTTAGGACTGGGTTACCTCTTTCTTCTTAAATTTCGTTATTCTCTTTCATTCTTAGTAGCCTCGTTTTAGTGGCATTATCGCCTTGTTTGTGGTAATTTAATTGAAAAAGATGTTCTTTTCGGCGACGACGTCGGAATGTTGTAAAGATGAACCTGTCGTTTACTCATTTTACTTGGAATGTTAGCTTGAGAGATTATGAGATGTTGGACATTGTTTCTTCAGAAGGGTTATCTCCATTCAAACAAAGATACCCTCATGTCTCCCTGCCCGAAATAGTAGCAGGAATTGGTTGCAATCTTTTCAACGATTCATCTTTCTCTCGCTTAATTCCAACATCGCTTTGTCATATTTTTGTTTATGGTTAAACCAGCGCCTTTTGGATGCCCTTCCCTTCATGGCGTACGCGACCATGGCCCTCCACCACTTCCTAGCCTTTGTAGCTCTCAGTAACGTTTGTATATTTATCTTCCTTCTCATTTCCCGCTGCGCCATTCATTCACCCACATTTTCCGTCTACCCCATCAACATGGAATAGGATTGAAAATTCTTTCATTATATGTCCTACCTATGTCAACTGTTTCTTTCTGTCCGTTTACTAATTTCCTTGAATCTTCCTCGATTTTTACATGCTAAGAAAACGGGTCGGCAACCGTTTGGAGCTAGCGTGTCAGACAGCTATGCAATATTTCGGAGAAGAGCCATGATATCAAATGTCCTATAATAAATTGTCACGACCTCAGGCCGCTCCGTCCAAAAGGTCGACTTGGTCGGGAGGTTTCAAGAAAAAAAACAACAAATTTTATATTATTTAAAAGGTGCACAAAATCGGGTATGATATAGCCATAGTTAATAGTGGTGTAACTTTAATGGAAGGTTAGTGTTCTAGGGTTAATTGAATCGATAATGTGATCGATTAAACTCAACTTTGTAATTATAAAGCTTAAAAGTTGCGTCCATTTGCTCGACATTAAAAAAAAAAGTGTCGAAAGAGAGGTTGCCTTATGCCAGACTAGGCTTTGATAAAACATTTCCCAATTCAGCAAGTTCTCTCTTCCTGTCAAATATAACATCGAATTACTCAAGAAGCACGAGGCCAGAGATAATCCCACCTACACAGCCGAGTATGAGGTCATACTAAGATCGGATTTCTGTAGATCTCAGCTCTTCGGAACTTTTCAGTGAATGTTTATATTGACTGACGCGTTCGCTGGCAAAGAATAGCAGATCTTGTTGAATGCTAAAGTGTCAAATAAGAGAAAGAGAAAAAATAATGAGAGTAAAGGGAAGAGGGGTTTGATGCACTGGGCTGAAGAATGTCTATAGCCAGTAAAAGATGGAGGCGTATCGCGGAGAATTTGTGATCAGGTACGAAAGACAAAAAATGTGGATGATGGAAATATGAACAATTTTCCCACGAGCCACGCATCACTCCATCCTCATTTGAAATACTTTTGGTTCATTCAAAATATATATATATATATATATATATATATATATATATATATATATATATATATATATATATATATATATATATCGTGAACGAAAACACACATGCGCAGTATCTTTGACACTCCCAGGTGAAAGAGAGAAATATGAAGGAAAACGAACCATGCAAAATTATAGAGAAACAAGAAAATTGCCAAAAGGATAAATATTCCCGACATTCTACACAAGTGTACATACGTATGTATGTGGCCGAGTGGCCAGAACGTTCGCATTCTGACTAGGCAACCCGGGTTCGAATCTCACCATGCTCGATTTGTCAGTAAGGAGACTTCCTGATGTTATCGGACTGGAGGGGTCGATGCGGCGTCTTTGGAAAGTTCCTGAAAACCATACAACTGGTTGACCCAAGCCTTGTGAATGAAATCGCGGCCGTCGATAGCTGTGCTAGCGCAAAGTCACAAGTCATCGTGGCCAGGGCTTGAGCGTGCTGGCCTTGTTATTGACCACGCTAGATAATACGCCTTTTTTCCCAGAAACTGTAACTAGATGTCTGCTCAGAATAGTTGCAGTATAGCCTTGAATAAACACAAATGAGCCTGAGCAAACATCTGCTATAAGGATTGGCTAGCCGCCCTAGTATGCTGGTATCCTCGAATAGGAGTGGACAGCTATACATACACATATGTACAGGCGGAAACACTAAAAGATACACGCGGACACACACAAAGAAGTAGAAAACATCAACGTCATACCAATAAACAGCGCATTTTTTAAAAATTAATATGAAAATAACGAAAATGATAAAATCGACAGAAAATTACTGATATCTCCTGACGAGTGGAGCGAATTATTAAAAAAGCGGCCTGTCTGCGAAACTCTAGTGTCGGGGTGCTGAATATAACATCAATAAGCTAAGTGACATGTTATATTTGTATTAATAATATATAAAATATCCCCATCAAATCTAAATTAGCCCGTCCTGGGTAAGACGATAAACTACATCCAATACGAAGGACTCTGATCAGAAGGTCTTGAGGAGCGTGAAACCACCTCTTAATTTCTGATATTCCCAGGTCCACCCTGTCCCGGGGTGGTAGCACCTGTTACGGTCCCAACTGTGGGCAATTAGTTAAACCCTCCCCACCCAAAAGGAGTCAAAACACTATGAAAGTATTAAAAATAGGTTTTAATACTAGTAATACATTTTTGAAAAAAAATATTACCAGCAATGCATCTTGGAAAAAAATATATTACCAGCAATACATTATTATCAGCAATGAATATTTGAAAAAAAAATATTACCAGCAATAAAAATCTCGTCGGCATTAAATAAACCTTTAAGGTTGATATGCCGTAAAACAAAACAAACCAATCGATGATCAATATAGTGTATCAATTTCACTGACCAGTTCAAGAATGTGTTTCTTGTTAATAAACAATATCGGGCATACTACCACATCCTTGAGTAGGCGCCTAACTTGTCACTTATCAGGTCAAAGTGCGATAAAAAAGATAAAAAAAACAAAAAAAAAACATGTACCTACCAATAATTTACAATATCTCTTAAGAATCATTCTGGTAGAAAATGATAAAATTATATATAAATCACATTACCCGCAACGCCTCGCTATAACAGAGAGCCTGTATATTAAACATCACCCTCCCATTATGAAACTGGCCTTATTAAAAAGTGGGAATGGAGTGTTGAAAGTTTTTTTAAAAAATAGAACGATGCTCACTTGAATTCCAACCGCGCTCGACACGCGAAGGGTCGGAATAAAGGCTCCTAATGTATTAAAAACAACACAAAAATAAAATTGTTAAACAGTCAAAACATGAGAATCTTACAAATCCTAAAACAAACAAACAAAACCCCTTAAAAATGTTGCCGAAAGCGAGTAGTGAATTCGATTTTCACTGGGTGCCCCCTACATTCGGCCTTGTGCCACATCTAAACTATGCTTGGAAAGTTAATAGGGCATCTCGCGGTGGTGTAATGATTAGCAAGCTTGTCTCGCTAGAACAATTACGACTGAGTAGTGAGTTCGATCCTCACTGGTTACTCCATACTTTCGGCTTTACGCCACATCTGAGCTACGCTTAGAAAAAAACTATATATATATATATATATATATATATATATATATATATATATATATATATATATATATATGTGTGTGTGTGTGTGTGTGTGTGTGTATGCCGTCCAATATATTTGTTAAATAACTGATATACAAGAATTATCTAATAATTGAATCTTACAACTCTGAGATGGTCACCCCCTGCCCCGAAGTGAGATCCCAAGCTAGTTGTCTCATTTCAAAACAGATGGCATTTCCTGTCTCACGGAAGTTTTAACTGCACCAAGGGTCACCATTCGGGATGGTGCTTGTCATTTTCATAACCTTTATCGAGAATTACAGACTGCTTCATACGAAACGCAATTTTCAAACCTGACGAGTGGATTTAGCCTGAAACTGACTTCAATGTCTTTATATATATATATATATATATATATATATATATATATATATATATATATATATATATATATATATATGGGAATTTATATATATATATATATATATATATATATATATATATATATATATATATATATATATATCTGGGAATTTAACTACACACACACACATATATATATATATATATATATATATATATATATATATATATATATATATATATAAGTAGTTAAATTCCCAGATCAATTCTGTGGACAAGACAGGTTGGTATAAAATGACAACTGGAAAAAAAACTTGGATTTTGCCGACGCGTTTCGTCTTCCGAGTTTTTCAAGGAAAAAATGAAATCGAAATGTTTTTCTTGTTATAGTTACATTAAAAAATCCAAATTTAAAAAGATAGACGCTTATGTCTAAACCTTTTTTTTTTCTGGTTAATGTAAATTACCTTTATAGTAAGATTTATTTATTTATATATATATATATATATATATATATATATATATATATATATATATATATATATATATATATATATATATATATATATATATATATATATATATATATATATATATATATATATATATATATATATATATATGTATGTATGTGTGTGTGTGCGGTATAAATTTCTTGGAGCATTATAAAAGAAACCTCAACAGAAATCACTGGAGCACCGTATCGTCCTACCGAGAATTGAAACCTGGGCAGTTATGA